CATTCGCGACTGCGCCTATCGACCCAACAACCATCAATAGCATATCAGTAGAATCTGCAAATGAGAACAGCTTGTGGAATGGAACCGAGTTCACTTTCTCGTCTCCCTTGCTCTTGTTGGAGTCCTGCTTATTCTCATTCACGGTGGGGCTCTTTGTGCCCACCACCTCGAGGCTCCTCGATGTGGTGGCTTCATCGGTTACTAAATCTTCGGTTGCTCCATCTTCGATGGCCATGCTACCGTACCCGGGACACAGACCTGTTATGCAACTTCTTTATCCTGTATGTATATACAGAATTGTCTGTGGGGACTGCATGAAGTGAGCACCTAGAATCAGCAATTTATAATTCAAGCCAAAGGAGTGAAATTATTGGGCATGCTGTGAAAGAAATAGTTGGACGGTTGAGCACAAATTGATTAACCAAAAACAAACTGTACTGCAGTCAATTTTCTCAAATACATAAGCAACTAAAGACAAAACTACTCTGAACGATTATCCGATAAATATATCACGAGTATCTTCTCGTGGGATTTGAATGGATTAGTTATTAAACAATCAAGATACGAGACATTCTTTCAACCATGAAAGTCAAAATTACAGAGACCAAAGACCGCTGATCTACACCACCCGCCTGGGTGGCGCTGCTGGAGCGCGCACTCTTCCTCTCGCAAAAGGTTGAGTGTTCGAATTCCGGGTGTCGCAGGGTGACTTAACCGGTGCATGTGTGTGGTGGCTAGCACGTGTCGCCCCCAGGGTTTACCTCCCGGCTGTCGGCCGTGCGGGGGTTCCCTGCGTCACCAAAAAAAAAAAAAAAAAAAAAAAAGACCGCTGATCTACAGGACCGTACTTCGAAAAGATTTTTAATCTCATTGGTTGAGCACCCTTAAAAAAAATTAGAATGATGAATCATTAGCTTAATGAGTTTTGAAACTGGTAAATTTAATGTGCGCGCGCGCTTGCCAACGCAAATGGCGACATACCAAACTGAAGGGTGCACAAGAAGCCTCTCAAAGCAGAAGCTGTCAAAAAAAACCCACAGGAAAAATTAGCCAATGGACCACCATTCCTAAGTACCATTCACAAGACACAGAGTGAAGAGAGGTTAATATCATGAACTCATCGGATTTGTGCCAAAACCACCTTTGATCCGAACCAGCACAAAAGAGCAAAATCAACTCTTTTTTTATTATTTTGCTCTACCTCCTGTTTTGCAAGAATCTTTGATTCTGCAAAAGGAGGCGAAAAAATGAATCGTTTGCTCTGCCTCTGCCTCGGGCAGAGTTATGAATCATGCATGATTCACCAACTCCGACACTGTTCTCCCGATAAGCCCCGAGCATAACAAGACGTAAGCAGCCAAAAGCAGACTGGCACAGAGAGAGAGAGAGAGAGAGAGAGAGAGAGAGATGCATTATTCCACCTGAAGCTTCTCAAAAAAGTCAGCTCACGGGTGAGTACTGTCTTCTGGGATCCCGAGAAATATGCAGGCACTTGGGTGACTGCTCTGAAGAGTTCGTTTCACTCTCTGCGATCCTGATCTGCAGTTTCTTCCATCGAAGTCCTCCTCCTGCATTATATGCACACTTCCAAATTGCTTGTCGAACAAGTAGTCAGCTCCCATGTCGCTTTCTCTCTCTCTCGGTCAAAGAATCCGCGGTCCAACATTTCTCGTTATCCCCACTGACTATTCTTTCGTCTTAAATTCCAACGTTTTACTTTTCCTTTCTTGGTCGTCAAGCCCAGTTTTGTTTTCTTGTGCATCGCTGCTGTTTCGCGAGAAAATCCATAATCTGAAAACGTCCGGAAACCAATAAAATATCTCTGTTCAGCATAACACAAGATCTTTCCTTTCTCGGAAAGTTGTCATCTCGTCTTCTTCGAGGCAGCAACACAATAGTCGCGTCTATGATGAAACAGGGTTTACGCTATCTCGTCAACGCATGCCTTGAGAACTTTGACCTCAATACATGCTTTCACAACTAAATTTGCACTTCTCCTCTATTCAATGGTCACCCCTGATGGCTTTTTCCAATAAACGTGGGTCTTTTCCTTTACCCCCACGTGGAGAAACTTCTAAGCAGGAACGCGATTCTAGATGCACCCCCTTTATCTTTTAGGGACATCATTTTGCCTGGTTGTCTTTTCACAAAATGCAATTTTGGCCTTTGCACGAGTGATGTATTTTTTTTTTTCCCAAGCAACAAATTTTCTCGAGAAACCGACTATAACGATTAAGATTTCGTTAACAAGGGTGCCTTTAGGGCCTTAATTAAGTTAATTGAAATCGAAAATAACGTTTTTTTTATATACTATGAGAATTGGGGAATTATACGCTGTAATAAGATTACTTGCTTCGGATGATAAATTTTAAATTCCGAAATTCCAATTAATAACAGCTGCAATGCATTGACAAATGAAGCAGCAGCAAGAGAGAAAATATTCTCTCTTAGTGCTCTAGGGGCTGGTGGCGTTTTTTTTTTTTTTTGCTGGGAGGGATATTAGTTGATTATTGGTAATAAGTCAAGTCAAAGTTCTATTTTCTTATAAATATATTTATTCCCAGAAGATGGTGTGTTGGCTGCGGCCACCAACTTTGCTTAGCATAGCACTAAAATTTGACATGAGTATAGCGTATGACGGAGGATTTTTCAACCTTATCACTTAAGCAAGATTAGGTGTGGATATTTCGTTTTGAATAGTGTAATTAATGTTGAAGAAGGGGAAAGAAACATGGAAAATGCGGACTAAGGAATTGGCAATAGTCAACATTGAAGAGCTGATTAAAAAGGATTGAATAAGTTGAATTAATGGTGGGAAAAGTAAAGGGAAAATTAAGGACACTAGATGGATATTTCGTTTCAAAAAGTATAATTAATGTTGAAGAAGGGAAACAAACATAGACAATGCAGTCTAAGGAATTGGCTACAGTCAACATTAAAGTGTTGATTAAAAAGTATCTAGAAGCTGAATTAATGGTGGTAGAGAATTGAGGTAGTGGGGATACTAGTATCATAGATGAAAGGTTCAACTCTGCATTCTATACAGAGAAGGAAAAAGTTTGAAAGAGAAGAGAATTACAGATAGGACAAACAAACAAAAAATAAAAGAAAAAGTACACTAGAAGTGACATAACTTTCATGAAATGTTCACTTAGTTCTCAAACTTTTCGAGAGATCAATTCAGTGAAGCTTTAGTAAAAAAAAAAACATTCACTTCACTATCAACTCCGATTTAGAAGATCGGAAATCCAACGTGACAATATTATCCGACGTTGTAATAGTATAACATAAATGCTTTAGAACGACATCGCTACACATGCTTGCCCCAAATTCTATTAGAATTGGAGACAAATCGGCTCAAATTTCCCCTCTTTTCAAACCCTAATTTAGACCGAAGTATTTTGGTGAATCTTGCAATGGCATGTTTCCTCACCAACTATATCAAACAAGCACATATCTTCTTCAAACCCTATTTTCACAACCGAGGATTTGGGGACAAATTCGGCCTCTTGTTCAAATCCTAACCCTCAATCAGGGATTTGGGGCAAAATTAGTAATCCATTTGGGGGTTTAATCCATTTTTACCCAATTACAATTTTTGGACAAAATTGTCCCTACCTTATTTGAGACAAGGTTTACTCTGAATTCTGTTTTAAGAAAATGACCCCACTTTAAGTCTTTATTTAAAAAATTTTCTACTTTTTTTTTCCTTCATTTTTTGCACTTCATGCTGTGGTTGTAATTTCTCGACATTGAACTTGTTTTTTTCTCTTTTTGCTGAAATTTAGGAGGTGGAACTTGGACCATTGCCTATGTAGGATGGGATGAGACATCTCATAATTGTATCAAACAACTTTGACTCCGTTTGTTTCACAAAAAATGAATAATTTAAAAAATATTTTCGTAAATATAATTGCTTGTATCACTTGAAATAATTAATCGATGAAAAATATTTTCATTATGAATTATCTAAACATTTTTATGGATAATGAAAATATTTTTCGTTTATTCGTTTTTGTAAATGATATGAGAGAATATTTTACAAATTATTCATTTTCCACAAAACAAACGCACCCTTAGGCTCCGTTTGTTTCACGGAAATGAAAAATTTTAAAATATTTTCCTAAAAATGATCGCTTATATTGCTTACAAAAATAAACAAAAGAAAAATGTTTTCATCATCCACAAAAATGTTTAGACAAAAATTATTATTGGTAATGAAAATATTATCCGTTGACTATTAATTTCAAGCGATACAAGCGATCATTTTTAGAAAATTATTTTTCAAATTATTTATTTTCCACGAAACAAACAAAGCCTGTTAGAGATAAATTTCTTTCAATAATGTTCATTCAAGGTTTTAAATCAATGCTCAAATCATGATCAATGCCTCAATCAGAAATTAGTCACGTCAATGCAACGAGACCTGAGAACTGGGCCATTGACACGATCGAAATTTTTTTACCCATGGGCAATTTTTTTTAAAATTATGTTTGTTTTCTGGGTAGTAAAATGTATGTCATTTTGTTGCCTAACAATAAATTGGATAGAAAGTGATAAAATTATCAATTTTGTTATATGTTCTCCTTTATTTGAAGCCCGGAGAACTTGTAAAAAATTTCTTTGTTCAAGGATGTAAATCACCTTAACTGGTAATTCCCGTGCCTAATCATCTCTTCTTGTCTGTTTCAGTCAGATTGCTGTTAAATCACGGTTACTTCGGTCACTTGAGCCAAGAAATATACCTTCGCATCCTAGGTCATTAAAATCAATCGCCGTCACGATTGTTTGAAAGATCAAGAGTAACGTTAAAATGCAATTCTTTTTTTAAGGCATGGTTAACGTTGTTTCGGTCACTTTATCACCAAGTCTGATCATCGGGAAACCTCCAGTTAGACTGACACATGTTTTCATGGCCACCTGAGCCTTGAGCTTTCCTATCTTGAGCTGTTTGGCAGGCCCAGTTCCAAAGTACCAATCTTGAGAAACCCATAGTCCCCTTTCCTTACAACTTCGGTTCCCCCTGCAATTTCTGTAAAAGATGCGCTCTTCTCCATTACATGCCAATGTCATCACACCAAAGCCTCTGGCCCAAACAAGGAACAAAACAGTGTCTTCAATACAGAGGGCTAAACTTTTGCAGATAGATAATTTATGTTTGTTGGCGGTCCTCTCATGGATCATGCTCGGAGAGCCATTAGAAGAGCTTCGCCATCTGATCTAGCAGGGGCCGGCGATGCGCCTCCTCAATGCACCAGGTCATCAGCCGCACACCTTTTCTCGGCAGAGGAAGAGACCCCACAATACTAGCGGGTATGATGCTTGATCCTTGTATAGGAACAATGTGCATGGGAGGCCCCCAACCATAGTCGACCTGGTTGAAACCAAGCCGGCCCCATTCTGATAGAAACAAGGTGGTGTAAGCGAGTGGCGGCGCGAACGGATCGGCACCATGTTCCAAAGGGTCTCCTTTCTTGAACTTTTCAAACTCAGAGGGCAGCTTTTCCTTGGCTTCTTGAATGATCTTCACCGCATCACTGAAAGATGCCTCCTGAAGCAGCTCACTGGAGGCTTTTACTGTGACAGGGAAGAAGCAGTTTCCATAGAACCCGTCAGGCAACGGAGGGTCTAGGAGTTGACGGCAGTTAGCGAAGAAGACGAGGCACACCTCAGTCTCAGGTTTTAAGCCTATTGCCCGCGTCCGCGAGCTCCAAAAGCTTGCAGCCACGGCCTCAAAGGTGGAGCAATTTCGGCCTGTAGATTCGCGAAAGATTCGCTTGAGCTCGTTGATGTCTTCCAGGGGAATGTCTATGTTGGCATGTTGTAGTTGGTAATTCGGCATAGGAGGTGGCGGGATTGGCAATGGAGGAGCAGAGACATTATCACTTTTAGATTGAGAGGTGGGAGTAGGGAAGAAGTGCCTATACCACACCGGTTCAATGGCGGGACGCTCGAGGCCTCTCGCAAACTCTCCTAGTGCATTCAGGAATAGAGCAGCTCCTAAACCATCACAAATGCTGTGGCAGAATATCAGCCCCATCACGAACCCACCGCAAGCGAATCGAGTCACCTGAAATAGTAACTTCAATTAGTATCGGAAACGGGTCTTTTGAGAACAAATTTTGAATGGCAACTTGAGACGGCTGCAATAAACTAGAGCCTAGTATCCTGACCTGCATTTGAACCAGTGGTTCTCTCCTTTCAGGGTCCTGAAGCTCACAGGGAAGAAGCTCGTCATACGGGATCGACATGACATCCTCAAAATAATCGACAGATTCGAGTGTACAATCTGCCGTAGCCTCGACAAACCTCACTCCTTCCGCAGAACAATCTATCTGAAGCTCGCTAGGGACGGATTCTACCAGCCTCCCGGCAATAGGATAATATGGAACCAGCGCCTTGGACAAGGCTTCCTTTACAACTTGGGCAGCATCAGGGCCGTGTCTAAAGACATGGAGCGTCCGGGCATTGCATCTCAGGACCGGTATTCTATCGATGGCCGAGAGATCCAATACATGCAACGGAGTTTTTTGGGATGGTTTGACGAAGGACTCGATCGATCGGATCACCGAGATAGCCATGAAAGACAGTACCAATGGATGAGGAGCTAACAAGCTTAGGATTGAGAACGAGGGACTATAGATTATGCACCATTTTATAGGGCGCTAGTGTGGGGTGGCAGATAAATGGGTGCCTTCACGTTATAAAATTGAACTCTTTGCTTGGAAGTTCAAAATTGGAGTTTGGTGTGGAGATGGAATTGTGCTTTTGAAAATTGAAGATAATATTTTAATGGGTCAGGTATGAAGTTACAGTAACTTGCCTTTCAATGCCCATTTGACTAGCCGCATGAAGGACCTTTTCTTTTTTCTGCAATACCAACATGGGATTGTGGCATTCCTAAGGTACTCATGTTGTATTTCTTCTCATCGATGTAGTGTGGCAGTCCATCAAATGCGTTTTGGGCCACTAATGTCTATACACGTCACCATGACATGATGAAATGTCCACACGATATTGGCGAATACGAAAATTCGTATCGAATATAAAATGATAATGTGACGAGAGTCTACCCATTAACAAGCACCGCACATAACCATTGAGTTCCCGGATAACCTTCCATCACTATAATGCCTCTCTCGGTTACAAGTTAACGTTCTATTTTTTTTGGGTCAAGGGTTACAAGTTAACGTGTTCACGAGCTCAAGTCTCCGTTCACTCTCCCCTAAGATGATCGAGAGTTAAGTATGGTCTCTTTTACTATTTTTGCCCCCTATTCATCATAATATCTACAGCCAAAAAATGAATTCGCGACATTACAAAGATTAGCGTAACGAGACGTGTCATGAACTGGATGGTCGTGCATTTACCAAAAATAGATAAAAGTGGGGAAAATGTCAAACTTTCTAATGAGTCCAGATAAAGTGTCGTGCAACTAGGTTTACAACCAAAATAGATTCTGGGGCATTACAAAAATTAGCGTAATGAGACATGTCTTTAACTGGATGATCGTGCATTTACCGAAAATGGTTAAAAGTGGGCAAAATGTCAAACTTTATAATGAGTCCAGATAAAGTGTCATGGAACTAGGTTTATAGCCAAAAAAGATTTCGTGGCATTACAAAAATTAGCGTGATGAGACGTGTTTTGAACTGGATGGTCGTGCATTTACCGAAAATGGATAAAAGTTGGCAAAATGTCAAACTTTCTAATGAGTCCAGATAAAGCGTCGCGTAACAAGCTTTACAGCCAAAAAAAATTTCGCAATATTACAAAAATTAGCGTAACAAGACATGTCTTGATCTGGATGGTCGTGCATTTACCAAAAATGGATAGAAATGGGCAAAACGTCAAACTTTCTAATGATTCTAGATAAAGTGCCGCGCAACTAGGTTTGCAGATTACTTTTTGCTGCTAAGATGGAATCTGATCCAATTTTGAAAGGATGGTTTTTGCTTCCTCTTGTGTATTTCAATCATTCTGCTTTTACGTATCATTTTAAGGAAAAATCTATTAACATTGAAAGCATGGAAAAGGCTTGCCGTTGTAGTTGGGCCAATCATCCTCCTGAAAGCATGCGACTAGGTTTACAGCCAAAAAAGCCAATCATCCTCCTGAAAGCATGCGACTAGGTTTACAGCCAAAAAAATTTCGCGACATTGTAAAATTTAGCATAACAAGACGTGTCTCGAACCGGATAGACGCGCATTAACCGAAAATGGATAAAAGTGGGCAGAACGTCAAACTTTCTGATGACTCCAGCTAAAGTGTCGTGCAACTAGGTTTGCAGAACGCTTTTTTGCTGCAAAGATGAAATCTTATCCAAGTTTGACGGGATAGCTTTTGCTTCCTCTAGTGTATTTCAATCATTCTATCTTTTACATACCATTTTAAGAAAAATCTATTTAACACTGGAAGCATGGAAAAGGGCTTGCAGCTGTATAGTTGGGCCGATCCCAAAAGCCCAGCCCAAGAGCCCAGTTGCATCAGGTCAAACACCAGCGGTCCTTTGCCTCATGACTCCAAGGTTCCAATCATGAGGGTGGCACTGCTGGTGGAGGCCAGCACATTCACATTCCAACCCACCACTCAAATAAGAATGAACGAGTTTTTCAAGAAAAAAATATATTGTTGAGAAGAAAAATTTTGATTTCAAGAAATTGAAAATTCCAACTTTCGTTATTTTTGTTTGATAAATAGGTGTCCTAAAAGCACTCCTAAAAAAAATTAATTCAAAAAAAAAACTACCGAATTTACCTTGAGCGATAATTTTAGCCCGAACTTTTTTTTTCGTCTCATAAAAAATCATTAACTTTCACTCTAGTTCCAAATCTAGCCTCCGTAATGCAAAATTTTCAAATTATTCGGGCCGATTTTAAAATTTAAGCGAAAGTTCGTGATTTTTTATAAGACAAAAAAAAATTCAGGTTAAAATTGTCACTTAAGAAAAAGTTGGTGTTTTTTTTTTTAAATTAGGTCTTATAGAAAAGATAAAACGGGGGATTGTTTAAATACTTAAATTGACTATCTGTTTAAATATATACATATATAGTTTTTCATGCTGGTCCATGATGAGAGATTTGACCTCTTCACATGGCAATAGGCAAGAGATTCCAAATACTATCACACTATCCGACATTTTAGATGTTGATTATGTCTTTTAAATAGAACTAACTCACCCGAACATTATTGATGATTTTTCGTCTTTTTTTCTATACAAATTAAGCGATTGATTTCCTCGAAATTCGAGTAATTCGAGCCCTTCTGGTGATGGATTCGAATCCCCCGATCACTTCTCGATCTCAAGAAGCTCTCGTTCGCCTGCAGCGTATATTTCGTCGTGTCATGAAACGAGTAGGATAGCTACGGGTTTACTCGTATTAGGACTATCGTAGGAAGACAGAACCGGTTCGATCAAAATAAGTAGCAGCTCCGACTCGAACCCGACATCCCATCATGGGTATGGACTGATACCTAGGGATGATTGTTCGCACCGATCGCGCACTGCCCCTTTAATTTTTAATAATAGAAAGAAACCTTGAAATTCCATGGAGTTTGTTGGGTCTTATTATTTATATTCATTTGATCACCACCTACTCAATTACCATGATATAAGTCAACCCCCTGTAGTTCACTTTTCTTCCGATCGCCGCCCCATCTTCCCCAGTCAAAACTTAAAACCTTAGGCGCTTTCTGAGATCACATATATTCATTGAATCGCACGTGCTTTTATTGAAAATCCGTCACAAAGTACACGTAGCGACCTTATAATATCACGAGAAAATTTCAAATAAAAACCTGAAGTAGGATCATTTCCTCAAAAGATGGCACGGAATGAATCCTGTTTCATTCGATAACCCTCGAAACACCTTATATTCAATGCTCCTTCAATTCGGCGGCCCAAAGCAGAAACTTTTTTTTGTTACAAAATTGCCCCTGCTCTGGTCACTGGAATTAGCACGTCGGCGAAGATTTGACCGGCCAAACTTTAATTCGAAACGATGCCCAATCTGAACCCTCGCTTCAAAAGAGACGACCCCTGTTTCGGACTTTCTTTTTTCGAACTTTTCGGCGATAAAAAGAGTTGTGCTGGACCAAAACAACGAAATGGGGACTTTTTCTTTTCTTTCTCTTTCTTTTTTTTTTAAATCAGTCGGCAGTCACCCACTAGGAAGCCACACAACACCAGCGTCCATTATTCTCGCTTTTGACCGTGTTCCAAAAACAGGAAAAACTGAAAATAAAAAGGGAAAAAACCACCAAAAACCCCAAATTTTGCCATCTGTGACACATTTACTCCGAACTTTTTTTTGTGACACCAAAAACTCCGAACTTTGCTTTTTGTGACACATTTACTCCAATGTATTTAGTCCATGGGCATTTTCGTCTTTTTTGCTTTTTCTTTTTTTTTTCTTTTTTTTTCCTTTCCGGCGAGGGGGGGCCTCGCCGGATCCGGCGAGGGCTGCCCTCGCCGGCGTCGAGCGAGGGCGGCCCTCGCCGGATCCGGCAAGGGCGGCCCTCGCCGGCGTCGGGCGGGTTCGCCCTCGCCAGGCGAGCGAGGCGGCCCTCGCCAGGCTCGGCGAGGTCGACCCTCGCCGGCGTCGGGCGAGGGTCGACCTCGCTGAGTCGGCGAGGGCCGCCCTCGCTCGCCCGGCGAGGGCGACCCTCGCCGGCGTCGGCGAGGTCCGCCCTCGCTGGGCGAGCGAGGGCGGCCCTCGCCCGACGCCGGCGAGGGTCGACCTCGCTGAGTGGGAGGGCCGCCCTTGCTCGCCCGGCGAGGGCGAACCTCGCCCGACGCCGGCGAGGGCCGCCCTCGCCGGATCCGGCGAGGCCCCCCCTCGCCGGAAAGGAAAAAAAAAGAAAAAAAAAAGAAAAAGCAAAAAAGACGAAAATGCCCATGGAGTAAATACATTGGGGTAAATGTGTCACAAAAAGCAAAGTTCGGAGTTTTTGGTGTCACAAAAAAAAGTTCGGGATAAATGTGTCACAGATGGCAAAATTTGGGGTTTTTTGTGATTTTTTCCCAAATAAAAAATATGAAAAAAGAAAAGAAATAAATAAAATTTTGGCGGGATAACGCTGAGGTGGCGATCCCGGATTCCACCAAATGTTTTTTCTCTCCTTTGGCTTTTGGCTTTTGGCTCTGGCGCCCTGATGCGTCATCCTTCGATGGGGATTCGTATCTCTACGTCTCTACTTTACTCACACGGAAGGATGCCGACAGTGACCACACGCAGTTCGCCATTGCCCCCGTTCGCCCTTTTAGCACGAAAAGAAGTCTCGCAACCAAACAAAAAGCACTCGAATCCAAGCAAGACACTGATCTCAGATCTTTTCTTTGCTTCCTCTGCCCTTTTTTTTCCAACCCCCCCTGTGGCCGTGAACCACCTACCGTTGATCTTGCATGTCAAGTTCGTCCTTTAGCGAGGGAGCCCAAAAAGGAGAGAGAGTGAGAGAGGAGGAAAGAAATGTGATAGCCCTGTTCTTTGCTGGTCAAAAGAGAAAGCAAAGCACGTCTATCCATCCACTCTGGTTTATGCCGTGAACGGGTGAAAAAAGGGTATGCTTTTTGACGTGGATTTGAAGGAAGGGAGACCAAAGAGGCAAAGCAAAGATACCCCCGCGTCTTTAAATTGAGGTGAAAAAAATGGGAGGGAGCGGTGGAGTGGGATGAGATGGAGCTTTCTGTATCCGTATCTGTTGGCGACTACAGAGACGATTCTCATTAAACTCGAATTATTTTAATGGGTCCTTGCTACATTATTCTATTCGTGACGGAGACAGGGCAGAGGAACTGAGGAAGGGCCAAACCCGCCCGAGATCAAGATGTTTGTCTTCACGAGTCTCCATATGTAAACAAACCCACTCCCGGTGTCCGTTCCTCGAGCGCCAAGAGAGAAAAGGAGAGAAGAAAACAGGCCACATTCGATATGGGTAGTGCTCCTGCGGTGAAGCATTTGCATCCCCTGTTTTTGTTACTTGGGAATGTGCTGGTGCTAATGACGTCCTGCGCCAGAAGTGCTGAGTATGTGTCGGCAGTGGGTGACCCGGGAATGGCAAGGGATGGGCTGAGAGTGGGTTTTGAAGCTTGGAACTTCTGCAACGAAGTTGGCCAAGAAGCTCCTGGCATGGGCAGTCCGAGAGCGGCCGATTGCTTCGATCTGGAGTCAAGTAAGCACAGAGACACACCACCACCACAAAAGTAAAAAAAGAAAAGGCAGTAAGAAGACTGTGCATTAGAAGTTGCCTCTTTCCATTTCCACAGTTTTCTTTTCTGTTCCGTCTCATTCAGTAATCAGACGAAGATTGTCATTCATCACTCATCAGATAATCTTTATATAGGGGGCAATGGCTCTTCAAGATTACTTGGACTAGCCCATCTAATATCATCTTTTGCATGCCAAGAAACGAAAAGAAAAATAGAAAGGCCCATTTTTTTCTGGTCAGAAAAGATGATTTCAATTTCTTTTGACATAACTGGGAATGTTCCATGTCTTTCCCATTTCCCATTTTCTTTTTCGCCTGTTGAGTTCTTGTTCTTTGTTATGACAAGGGCAGGTGCTGCACTGAAACACAAGGTAACTGAAGCTGATAACCAGCTTGGGGTGGGCAAATCATTCCCAGGTCTATCACCAGAAGCCCAGAAAGACCCAGACATGTATGCTGCCGAAAAGGAGCTCTACTTGGGCTCACTGTGTCAAGTCTTGGACACCCCAAGGCCATGGCAATTCTGGATGGTGATGCTCAAGAACGGCAATTACGACACCACCTCTGGCCTGTGCCCTGAGAATGGGAAAAAGGCGCCGCCTTTCAAGCCCGGGAGGTTCCCTTGCTTTGGTGCTGGGTGCATGAACCAGCCAGTATTGAATCACCAGCAGACACAGTTACTGGGCGATGGTACGATGAGAGGGAGCTTCAACGGAACTTATGACTTGGGTTATGACATTGGGAAGGCGAATGACGGGGCCTCATACTATGAGGTAATCTGGGACAAGAAGGTCGGTGAAGGAAGTTGGAACTTTCATCACAAACTCAAGACCTCAAAGAAGTACCCATGGCTGATGCTCTACCTCAGGGCTGATGCAACCAAAGGGTTCTCTGGTGGGTACCATCATGACACCCGAGGGATGCTCAAAACTGTAAGTGGTAATAAATACGAGGACCTTGTTATGTTTTTTCAACTGTTTAGTACTTTCCTAATTTTTCTGTGCACCATTCTGTGCTTTTCTTTGGCTAAGAGCCTAAGAGTAGATTGGACGGCTCAATTCCGTAACTCCTTAGCTCTGAGAGAGAGAGAGAGAGAGGTATACTGTTGGCATTTACTTAGCTTGATTGCTCGGAAGATGCATAGATAATTAATATTTCATCAGCCTCTCTGGATGATGATGATTCGTCAATGCAACTGGATTAGAGTGGGGATAGATTTCTTTGACATTCCCTGCAGCTGACCAGGCATCGGGTTCAGGGAAGATGACAGGTCACACGACTCACGAGTCGATACTGGATTCTCGTGATGAAGTAGTTGAGCTTGTTCCTAGTGTGTGTGGGGTTGCATTAGCTAAATTTAAACGGCTTTAAAAGACTCTGATTGATTTTCCTTTTCTTTTTCCCCTCTTTTTGATGTTTTGCGTGTTACTCCCCCAGCTTGATGAAGTGTGGCATAATTAAGTCCCCTTTGCTTCGTCAATCATTCAATGTTCATTAAAGTAATCCACCTATTCTTCTTTGCCATTACTCAGTGGCACTTCGCATAGGGGAGACCGAATTTGGGTTGGTCACCGATCCTTATCTGAAGTGTTCGATGATTGCAGATTGTAGGTGGTTAGCTAAGGTTTTACATCAGAGTAAGGTTAAAGCACACACTTGGGCAATACTATTAGTTTGCGATTGCTGCTTTTCATGTAGAGTCGGAATTGCTTCTAACTAGCTAATTAAGCAATTTTGACCCTGATCTAGTTATCACTTTGTGTTCATTATTCAGCTTCCCGAATCGCCTAATTTTAAAGTGAGAGTGACCTTGGACATCAAACAAGGAGGGGGTCCCAAGAGCCAGTTTTATTTACTCGACATGGGCAGCTGTTGGAAGAACAACGGCAACCCATGCGATGGCGATGTGAGCACTGATGTCACCCGATACAGCGAGATGATCATCAACCCCCAAACTCCAGCTTGGTGTAGCCCCAGTGGCTTAGGCAACTGCCCGCCATATCACATAACGCCTGACAATAAAAAGATCTACAGAAACGACACTGCGAACTTCCCATACTCGGCTTATCACTACTATTGCGCTCCCGGCAACGCGCAGCACTTGCAGAAACCAGTCAGCACGTGCGACCCGTACAGTAATCCTCAGGCGCAAGAGCTGGTTCAACTGTTGCCACACCCTATCTGGGCCGAGTATGGCTATCCGACAAAACGAGGGGATGGTTGGGTCGGGGATGGAAGAACTTGGGAGCTCGATGTTGGTGGATTATCTTCTAGGCTCTACTTTTATCAGGTCAGTAAACTAGTTTAATATCATTGCTATTATTACTATAATGATAACATAATTCCTCTTGAAAGGGACTCATGTTTTATCGCACGGGGGATGCTAAATACGCATTTCCCATGTCAAGCAGCTATTTATTATTCTGAATGTGCTCAGGGCACGCCTACTTTTGCATTGGCACCGTTGATGTAAATGATTTATCCTGAAGAAATTGCGAATAAATGTTGCTAGTTGATCACAATGTAGGATCCTGGAACTACTCCAGCTCGGAGAATTTGGACATCCATCGACATGGGCACCGAGATTTTCGTCAGCGACAAAGACGAAGTGGCAGAGTGGACTCTCTCCGACTTTGATGTCCTTATTCCATCGGCAAGCACATCATGATTTGAGTTCGTCTTCTGCATTCTGCCAAAAATAATAGAATAAGACAGTCAGAAAACTTGTTCGTTGATGCATATTGGTGGACAACACACATACAACAGTGTCGAGTTATGGAAGCCTGAGAAGCCCGTAAGGGCATGGCTTATTTAATCTGGATGTTCACTTCATTGTGATCACAGAATTCATATACAAGAACCAGAACATTGAACTACAGATCTTCTTGCATGTGACATGTTAATATGGATTGACATTTTCTTCCTGCTTTTATACCATTCGATGAATAGACGGTCAAGTTAAAGACGGTAATGCAGAAACTGATGTTGGGCAATCTATGAATTCGCGGCACATAAAACCGAACACTCTTATTGTACGACCTTCATTACGCTTTCCTAAAAGAGAGTCATGAAGGTCCTTTTGTTGTCTCCAAAAGCAAAAGGTGCGTTGGGGTAAAGAGAATGGTAAGATGAGATAATGGGATTGAACGGGCCTACCATGTGAGCTCACTGAGCTGAGTACCTAACCCCTTGATTTGCGTCAAGAAAAGAAGGCTGTCGCAAGATCTATCTTAGCGACTTTATAATGCCTTGTTCGTGAATCGGAAGTAGATTTGTTAAAATGGGTCATAAATCTATTTCTCAACCCATATATAATAAGCGTGAGTTGTTATATGAGTTAGTTATATTGAGTAAATGAGTTTAAATATAACATGAGTTATAAATGGGTCGTAAGTGGGGTTATAAATTGATTTACAACTTATGACTCTCTTTTTATTTTCTCTCGCTCTTATTCGATTTCGTATTCACTCATTCTGCACTCTCACTGCGGTTTAGAGATGAGTTTTCTTTAGATTAAGTTAAATATTGAGGTATTTTAGCAATATGGATTCAATCGGGTATGAGTCGAATTGAGTATGGATAGTCGAGAATTCAAGAAATTTGCATTATGAATAAATTGGTTAACAAAGGGGTAATGGGTGAATTTTAGTCGGTTCATTTATGATCCGATCCGATCCACTAATTTGACAGCTCTACCCAGAAGAGACATTGTAACTTGTCGTACTTAGCTGGGTTCGCCTTTCGTTTTCGTAAAAGCATGGAACTATTCGGTCCCAAAGTCCATATCGCAGGCCCTCTCGTGTTTTCTTGGTTTGGCATGGAGTGGCCCGTTCTTTTCAGGTCGGTCCATTCAGTTCGTCAAATGGACGGCCATCCACTAGCTTTACATCAACAGTAGTAGGTACCATCAACTTCAGTTCATTTCTTTTCATGGAAACAAAGAATGGCGAGTGAGGTTTTTCCGGAGGACCACCATAGTGGATGGCCGAAAGAACTAAAGTTGATGGACTGAAAGAACCGAATGACGCAGCTCACACGAATGCTGCGGCATTAGTTGAAGTTTACCATCAACTTCAATTCCGGAGGACCACCATAGTTCGTTTCTATCCGATATGCTGCTGCTCATGCCTGTAATATCTCCTTCGATGATTCCAAGAGGACAAAGAATTAAACGTTTCTGTCCGACATGTAATTGCAAAGGCACGCTTGATCTTTAGAATTTTGCTTGAACCTTTGCATCGAAAGAAGTTACTCTCTGGAATTAAATTTGTGCTTTCCCACATCTGAATTCTGAAATATACCCTAAAAAAGGAAGCGAGTACAGCGAGGCGAGAATTTAGTACGTTTAGCAATTTGCCCAGTACGGAAATCTCCTGTGCAGTACACGGTCAGTCCGGTTCAAGATTGAGATGCTAGTACGTGTGTACTATATTTTTATATACTCTCGAGGAACTTATAAGGGTTCCAAGTCAATGCAAGTATGGATCAAAATCTGGGGAAATGAGGGCTTGTGTTGGCGAATTCTGGGCAGGGATTGAAGGGAAGAGCGAAGGGCATTTGGGTGTCGATGTTTTGAGGTAAAGAGGGGACAGAGCAGAGGCTGGGAAGAGGCAGAGCATGGATTGAGCTATTGACAGGGACAGGGACTGTTTTGGCTCGACCCTGCACTGCCTCTTCCCTGGCTGTTGCCTCCTTCCTCTGCTTCTCCTCCCCCCCCCTATTTTATGAGTAAGGATAAGAGTTTATTTTTGCTTTCTTTTCATTTTCTTTTTCACTTTGTTTGATGTTGTTGTCCGTGGAAATGGGAGATGAGAATGTCGCCACGGGTTGAGAATCTCCTGATGTGGCACAAGACTATTTGCTGGTGGAGATGAGGTAAGATCTTTACTGAGAGAATATCTGGACCCGACCCGCGAATGGCGGGTCTCAAAGTCAAGTGATCTTTGACTTCCATATTTTGAGCAAAGTTTGTCTGTTTACTGATTTTTGTGAGCTCAATATTTACATCAATTCTTGCTCTCAAGTTCAGTTGGTGCCTTTCGCATGCTGCTGCAATTTTAAGAGTGATATTTGCATCTGTCATGGTATTGACTCCGCACATCTTTCATACTCAGAACGGTCTTCAGGTAAAGATTGTGCAAAGTTGATTCTAGCACGGTGTCGGAGAGGATATGGTGGTTGATTTCGGAGCAAGAACGAAGTAGCAGGAACCTTGGTCTGGAGCTTGAGAAGGAGCAGCTTCTGCCAACCAGTCCGACCCTTCTGTCATCTCATTTGACTTTCGTGTAGGATTGTGTTCCATGCTAACCAGCAATCCGGCTTTGAACAAAGCAAGGTGAAATCTTTTTGGGCATTGATACATCAGCATAAGCAGGGTTTAAGGGAGAACACAGCCAGGAGCGTAGCGGACTACACCAACCAATTTCCATGGGCTGTTGATGATGAAGGACCGCCGTTTCAGAAACATTCTCATGCATATTTTTTTCTTTTGGAATGTAGACTCTGTACATTGGTGGACAGATGATGAATTGTTAAATCATAGTTTTGATGCCTTGGGAGCTAAGATTTTGCTCGAAGAAATATCATGCTCTCCTCTTATCTTGCAATTAGATGAATGAATGCACACTTATTGACAGCTTAAAGAAGCCTACTTTATAGTCTGATCAATTCACATCACCACCAGAAAATAGGAAAGCATCAGTTTATGTTTGTGCGAATGAGCTAAAAAGCTTCAGTAAACCGAATGCCACAGCTCACACGATCTGGGGTTGCAAAACCGAAAGAAGAAGGAACAAAGCACAAGACGCTAACATGCCAAGAATAACATAACCCTGCAACTTCCCATTGCGATTCTTTAGCCATATTTACATTGATCACTAGAAGTTTGGTGGACAAGGTTTCAAATACATTTTGCTGATACTGTGATCAAACTTGCCACTTGAACTTCATTTGTTGACGAATATCAGTAGGATAAAGAAGAAATACGGGAATAACAGCAAAATACTGAAGTACTACTGTCGGTCTTCCTCTTAGGCATGAGCTCTCAAATAAGAAACAAGCTGCTCGAATGAATGGCTCTTGGCTTTACTGATCAGTCCATGTCCAATTGAATGAACAATCTGCACATAACATCAATAAATTCAAAATCCAGAAGAGAAGGACAACATTGTCATGTAAACTGTCGAGCCATAAAAGGAGCTAATGAGAAACATTGACAAGAACTGCCTTGTATAAAACCAAAATTTGAAGGTTTTTCAGATCAATCAAAACGAGATAGCTCTGGATCTTGTTACTTCTTCCCGATTGACCCGTTAAACTAAGAAGAGTAGATAGGCAACCCAAATTCCAGAGTACTCTTTCTAGGATGTTACATGCATTTCAAGGGAGACATCAAAACAATTACACAGACAAGAAAAAAGACATCTCAAGAAAACTAGCCAGAGTATCTACATTGCTTGATAAAAATAAAATTTACTGAACGGCATCCAGTCAAGCAACAATTATGGGTCACCAGCAGAGTATGAGCAGCTAGAAATATGAACTGTTAGATCCTTTAGTTTTCTCTCGGACAAAAGGCTTTGTGCAAGGATCGACAAAATTCCGAGATGTGAAAAAAAGGGCCGTATTGCAGTCTCTCCATAGTCTGTACAGCAGATAAAAGCAGAGAGATGTGGAAAAAGTGCCATTTTCTTTCCGCAGCTTCAGCGCAGACATAGTCATTAGGAAACTGAACAGTGGGTTTTTCTCATCTGGAATACTGGAGTTGGTTCTCTTTTTCCTACTAGTTTCTTTTCTTCTTGGTTTCTTACAGCGGTCTTTTGTAGTTCCTCTGCAAGTACAAGAGGAAGAGTAAAAGAGTTCCATGCCAAGTTTGACCCTCCAGAGCTTATTTGCTAGGTTCATATATTTCCAAATCTTATTTGCTAAAGCTCATTCGAACAATACCAATAAAAGGAAATCAGGCCCTTTTCTTCAGCTCAAATTGGCCAAAAAATGACTGCAAACCTCCCTAATGCCAATCAAGAAATACAGAACAAGCTTGAAGGCTTTTAGCGTTGAAATTTGTCAAAAGTAGCTTATACCGTGGGACAAATTTGAAGAACAGATCAAACTGCAAGAGCGGAGAAAACAATGTAAAATCAATTAAGTTGAAGAACAGTATTGCAGAAGTGGAACAGCAGATAAAGTATTTAGGTATACCAAGTTATGTAATTGTAGGGGAAAAAGCAAGAGCTATCAATTACATGAAGAGAGGTGACTTACTTTTGATCCTCATCTGTCCAATACACTGACTGACTAATACACTCAACTTGACCATATGACTGAGCATCCTCCAGCTCGTGATCAAGACACCCAGATTCAATGAAGTGCAAATCCTCCAAAAGGATTACATAATGTCTCTGCACTTCCTCTGCACTCTTCTTCCCTCCGACAATGGCCGCGACTGCATCCCACCGATCCGGGTCTTGCTCATCCACCATCGCCAGAGCCACCTCAAACAGCTTGTTCTCTTCCCAACTCCACTCATTGGGAAATTCACCCATGCTCAACAATACCACAAGATCAAATCCCCCAGAAAAAATGAACAAACAAAAGTCGTTTATTTCTTTCAAAGGAACAAAGTCTTCCCCAGATTCTACCTCACATTCTTGCACTCATCCAAGATACAGATGCCGATAAATCAGAACTTTTTCTCTGATTCTTTGTTTGATTCTATAAACACAAACACCACCCACTTCTTGTTTTATGGGTTTCAGGTGTCATCTGTGGTTCAGCTTTGTTTATTCAGTGAGTCTTTGTGTCAGACACAATTGTCTCAACTGAATTGAGATCTAACCATTGGCACAGAGAGAGAGAGAGAGAGAGAGGCCAAGAACTAAAAAAATGAGCAAGAATTCTAAATATTAATCCATTTGTACTAAAACTGGAAACCAGTGATCGAAAACAGACATACCCATTACTTCATTAACCATTTCTTGCAAGACCCAGAATCTGTTTGTTTCTAATTTCAGCAACTGGATTCCAAAGGGTGTTAGATCCGGAACCACAGCATCCCTCATATTTTATTCGGAGTTTAGGAATTTAAAAACCCAATAATGGCAAACGACCGACTGATTTCACCCTACGCCCAATCAAAACATTTCCAAATTAAAATTTCTCGAAACACATTCAACCTTGCAAGAAAGGGAAACGACTTTTGTGGTGGGATTGCACGTTACCTGACTTTAACCTTTGAAAATCTTTCCAAGCAATCCCAGTCCCCAACTGGGTCACTCTCAAGGACTTTCTAGGAGGTGGAAGTGGAAAGACAGGAAATTGGGAGGAAATGGATTCAAAGACTTTTGACAAAAAGATGGGGGGAAAATCTAAAAGGAAAGATTGCTTCGTTTTTTGGTCAAGTTTTTCTCTGTATGGATCTGTCAGCAAGTGGAAAACATGAACTAATCCCCGCTCCCAACTCGAGCAAAAACACTTTTTTTGTGTTTTGTTTTGAATGAGGTTTTCCAAGAGTAGGGAAGATTTGGTGTGATGAATGTTACCCAGCTGTCTCCTTCAATCCGGACAGTGATGGACCCCACGGGGATTTGCAGTTGCGCCATATCTTTTGGCCTCTTTTTGGGCTTGCTTAGAATTGGCGTCAGCCTCCAATATTCAAAGAAATTACATGTTACTCGCGCTTGTCTGTACAAATACATGACCACTAGGATGACTGAGACAGAAGACCTCAAACATGGCCCCTCTGTTTCCGATGTTATGGAGACCACCCGGATATAAAAATGAAACGTTAGATATATTATGATCGTTGTGTTAGGTCATTTGCTGGATTGTTTTTAAGTATTCGCTATAATTCACTTACTTGAAGACATAGTTATAATCCGTCATGTTACTGAATACGTCAAGTTGTAAATTAATAATATATATATGTAGCATTACTAATATGCAAATGTCAACTTTGTATTAAGCACTCTCCTAAGTCTTCGTACAAGGCAATACTCTTGCCTAATATAAAGTGAACTAGTCAATGGCATGGACCCAATACAAGACTCCACCAAAAGGTTATGATTTGTCAGTCCCACTTGATTTCTGCACTATATTTTGCTTAATTTAAGCACACAAACGGTAGACTGAATTCCCAGCCCATCACCTCAAACCGTGATTGAAAATTTTCTTTTTCAAGTGAAAAAGATCGACTATTCTATACCGTTGATCATACAACTTTAAAGACATCCATTATACAAGATTTACAGATGTAGTAAATTAGATCAATTGACATTATGGTAGACCCTGCGTTAAATCAAAATCTCTCTTAACACGCATTTCACAATTAGAGAGGCAATCAATCACTATCGTCGCCTTGTTTTGCTATATATTGATGACAAAGTCTATGGAGAAAGCGATGGTGACTTGATAATGTTATCTTCCCTTGTGCTTTGGGACCCCTGGAAACATAATCATTTCTATCATCCATTTGTAATTTGTGGGGTCATAACTTTTCCTTAGGATCAGGGAAGGATGATTGGAGACGTCTCTTCCATGTTCATGGTCGATTGTTAGCTGGATAGGTGGGGTCGGGGATTAAGACCACGCAAATCACGAGCATATAGTCACTCTTCTTTGGCCAGACCAAAAGAAGAGCTATGCTGCTATTTAGAAGTAGGGAACCGAAGCTGTTCAACTTTCTCGTAGATTCTTTTACATGCTTCAGTAAGCATGACACACAAGAGTTTTAGCATTTCCTGCATAGTGAAAAGATCTTTACTGTAAAATATGGGATTTGGGCACTTCAAGTGGCTCTAACTTGGGTTAAATTAGCAAGATGATGATCCAGATTGAGAGGTCAAGCTGATTAAGTGATACTTGGTGGGATAGAGCTAAAATATTGGATCGGTCGAATGTTAGCCGCCAACAAATGGTCGAGAAGTCGCATGTAATTCGTACCCAGTTGGGGATTGTATGAGAATAATTTCGTTGGAGCACCATTGAAGATCTCGAAACAAGCAGGAAAAAAAGGATGATATTGACTCTGCAATATGGTTTTCTAGTGCAACAATGAATGATTATGCGAGTGTATAAAGTCCTAAGGAAAATACTCTGTACAAGGAAAATATGGGTCGACTACGCCAAAGGGGAAAAGATTTCGACCCGCCTTTGAATGTCTCTGCAAGGAATGTCAGAGGGAAAAAAGAAATGATACCAACTCTGCAGAATCTGTGTTGTCCTTTGCCGACGATTGCAAGGTTACCCGCCGCCTCGTGCAGCACGTTTCCCATTGATGCATCCGCGAGCCTTTTGTCCAGTGATACATGACGAAACTGCACGGCGTTGCATCAGAGAAGAAAAACGTTTGTTAGAAATGAACTCGAACGCTTTCGAACTTGGAGATGAAGGGGACGCGTGTGTACCTATCAAGCAACCCCGGAGAGAAGTCGTAGTAATGGTCAACTGAGGATGATCTTTTGAGGCTATGGCTACAATCCATCCACCACGCCCTCCACAAATAGAAGATCAACTACTCCAAAACTCTTAATTAAGGTCCATGCGGAGTGCATCACGGTGAAGATGACAACGATATTCGAGAGAGATATCGAGCACTTACGGGTACACACCGGGTACGGTTCCAACAGATAGCTGAGAACATAATTAAGAGTGAAACTGCAAAATATGTACATGCACATATGGACAAGACCAATGACTGAACCAGAAAACTTGAACCAGAGAACTTTGATGATACTTTTTTGTCCTGCAAGTAGAACAGAACTAATGCATACAAATACCACCGCCTTCAGCGGCTGCGCTGGCTTCGGGCTCCCCTCCCCCCACGAAGGGTAGGAGTTCGAATCCCAGCACTGGCGTTAGGGATTCTTAAGCGTGACATCGTGGTGGTGGGTCCTGCGCTAGCGTCACCCCGGGTTTATCTCCTCAGCTGTCGGCCGTGCGGGGGTTCCGGGTTACAAAAAAAAAAAAAACTAATGCATACAAATGCATGTCTATTTTTCCGATTCTAAAGGATCCCAGAAAATGAAAACAATGAGTAAGACCGAACCAATATGGATTAATTGTCCACTATCTGATACCAATATGGATTAATTGTTCACTATCTGATTGGTACGGCATACCACCAGTTAGCCAGACGCTGCTGAAATACTCATTAACGTTAGATCACAGCCAATTCCAGAGCCTCGGTGGCCATTCCTCCAATGAACGAGTGCCAAATCGACGCGGTCCCATACATGGAAAGGTGAACTCCAAAGCCATACAAACCCCTAAGATTCTCGTCGCGCAAGATATGAAGCGAGACATATGTCAACAGCAGACCTATAAAATAAAGCGCAAGCTCAGACGCTGCTGAAATACTCATTAACGTTAGATCACAGCCAATTCCAGAGCCTCGGTGGCCATTCCTCCAATGAACGAGTGCCAAATCGACGCGGTCCCATACATGGAAAGGTGAACTCCAAAGCCATACAAACCCTAAGATTCTCGTCGCGCAAGATATGAAGCGAGACATATGTCAACAGCAGACCTATAAAATAAAGCGCAAGCTCATTATGCTACAGTAAGTTCTCGGAAGCGAAATATATTGAGGTGGTATTACCTTTCGCGGCATGGAATTGCCTAGAGATTTGCATATTGGTCCTGCTCCTCGGCCTGCATCCAGTGGAAGCATACCTTAAGACAACGATGTTATAGAGAACTCGGGCAGTGATTGAATCGATGGCTTTTGGCATAAGTAGTTCTTCAAATGCCAAACTTCAATTCGTTTTGCTATAGTCGGAGGCAGATTTATGATGCCAAATTGACAAGATATTACAATTAAATAACCAGGGAAATAAACAAAAAACACCAAAGATTTACGGTCCGAGCATACCATCCAATTGGGTTTGGATTTGGTACGCAACTCAAACTCAAGACGTAATTTAACACCAATCGCATAGAAAGTAATTGCCAAAAAGAGAATAACTTGCCATCCAAATAATGCGATTAAGAGACTAAAATGGCCAATGCATCTGCAAATGCAATCCACCGTTCAATTTCGGTTTAGAGGAATTCCGAGAAATATACTTACGCGTTGGCTGTCATTTGCTCAGCTGGAGGCTCGCTCTACATCAATCAAACAAACCATCTTAATTTCAAATGTGTCAATGGTTTGGCCCGACCATGCTAGATTATCGATCAACACCTAATCAATTCCCGTTATTTGTTTTATTTTAATTTTATTTCTTCAAAACTTTAAAAAAAAATCATTTGAAATTTAATTATTATGGATTTTATCTAAAAATGGTCTGATACTTTACGGTCTCTGCCTGCGCATTCGACGTGGGACTCTCGGCATGTCTGGCTTGATTTCCATACGCCATGTCTGGCTTGATTTCCATACACATGCCGAGAGTCTCATATCGAACGGCCACGCAAAGACCGTAAGAGGAATTGTGAATAAAAGCCAAGCCATGCGCCTGAATTACTCGTCTTTTTCGGCTATTTGGTCAAGATCAGGGGTGGTTTATGTTAAGTGTGTCTTGAAGATTTTATGATTTTTTGGTGGGTAAAGAGTTTGAAGGAGAGGAAACATTCAAATGAAATGCTGCACAATTGGTTCCGTTCAAGAATGAATCGGTCTAGCTTCCATGCCCTTCCGATTATCCCTAGCTTCCATGCCCTTCCAAAAGAAAAGAGATGCTTGAAAATTCAAAAACTTCACTGCAATCAGATTCATAATGCTGCACGATCGTACATGTAGAATATGTGCTAGAAGAAGCTCCAATAACAAAGCGTAAACAAGTTATTAAGAGAATCCATGACGAGAAAACTGCAGGAAAGATTCATATTCACAAACGCTATCAAGAAACCTCTTGAAAAGTGCAGAGATTAGTGCAGAGAAAGAGTTTAGAGCAGAATTGCAGAAGAACGCTAACTCGACAGAGCTACGGTGCTACACCGTCCAATTTTTTCCTTGTAACGCTCAATCGGTGCCATTTTTGCATCTATGGAAAGCTAATCTTCGAACTTTTCAAAATATTCTATTGGAGAAAATTTAATTAATACAATGATTTGAAAATAGATACATTCAAGGAGGAAAAGTAGGATACTTTTCTTGTTTTAAATCTTATTGACACAATTAATGACTCCTTAGAAAGCACGTACATAATTTTGGTAGTTAAAATTAAACATCAAATCTCACAAAAAAAAATGACCCAAATTTTGACTATCCCTAAATTTTTTTTGTTACCTTTGATTGACGCGATTTTTACATCTACGGAAAGCTTATTTTTGAACTTTTCGATTTAACTACAACCTACACTATGTTTTATATTCTAGACTTACTATTGCTAGTAGTATTAGTATTAGTTCATGGAGAATGGCATAATATTCGTGAAAGTATCAAATATAGGAATTATTAAATGCCTCCATGGATCCTTGGAAAATCTTGCCTCCGGTAGGCTTATGACAAGACATTTGATCTTATTTTCCTAAAGTGCATAATTAGAATTTATACGATGAAAATCTGAATTT